TTTTTGTTAGAGAGAAGAAGGTTAAGAGGTGACTTGATAGAGACATACAAGATGATCAGAGGATTAGATAGGGTGGACAGTGGGAGCCTTTTTCCTCGGATGGTGATGGCTAGCACGAGGGGACATAGCTTTAAATTGAGGGGTGATAGATATAGGACAGATGTCAGAGGTAGGTTCTTTACTCAGAGAGTAGTAAGGCGTGGAATGCCCTGCCTGCAAAAATAGTAGACTCGCCCACTTTAAGGGCATTTAAATGGTCATTGGATAAACATATGGATGATAATGGAATAGTTTAGGTTAGATGGGCTTCAGATTGGTTTCACAGGTCGGCGCAACATCGAGGGCCGAAGGGCCTGTAATGCGCTATAATGTTCTATGTTCTATGTTCTATAAATGTGGCATTTAAATTAGCAGTCTGTAACTAGTGGAATATTGCAAGGCTCAACTCTGGGACCATGGCTACTTACAATTTATATTGATGATCTAGATGAAGAGACAATGAGAATTGAATTGATACTTGCCGGTCATACAAAGCTCAGTAAGAGTAAAGAGTGTATGAGGAATACATAAAGAGTTGAAAAGAGTAATAGGCAATTAGGTCAGTGTGCAACTGTATGGCAGTTGCAGTATGTGGGGAAGTGTGATGGTATTTGCTTTCGTAGTAAGAGTAGAAAAACAAAATGTATTTTTAAGAGGTGTGAAACCTGTAAATGTTGATATTTATTTAGAGCGATGTGGATGCACCCTTACAAAGGTTCAATATGTTGGTTTTTAGGAATAGAGGGTTTGCAATGATGAGAGAGGCTGTATAAATTGGGCCAAACTCTTTGAAATTTAGAGGAATTCAGTGGTGATCACATTGAAACATTCAAACTTCTGAATGGTCTTGACATAGCAGACACAGAGATTATTTCCCCTGGCTGGGAGATCTAGCACAGACTAGGGATAGGAAATTGATCATTTTGGACTGAGATAAGAAGAAATGTCTCAAATCAATGTTTTGGAATGATTTACTTCAGAGTGTTCTCAATGTTCCAATTTGAATATATGTAAAGATTGAAATAGACAAATTTTTGCTTTCTCAGTGAATCAAGAGGGTGGGGTCTGGGTAGACTGGAAAAGAGGGAATAGGCAGGCAAATTAAATTAAAGATCAGCCATTGAATAGTTGAGTGAGCCAGAGGAGCTATATAGACTCCCCTTGTTTCTATTCCTAACATTCTTATAATTTCGTGCATGCCTTCATTACCTCCTGACTTAACTATTCAAATACACTCTTGGTTGATCTCCCACATTCTATCTTACATAAGGTTCAGATCATCCAAAACTCAGCTACTCGTGTCTTAACTCGCAGCAAGTCTTATTCCTCCATCACCCCAAATTCAATGACATACACTGGCATCTGGTCAAGTGACATCTGGATAGTAAAATTCTCCTCATTCTTATTTTCAAACTCACTTAAGGCTGTGCCCATTTGCATGTCCATGATCTCCTCCTCAATCATCCTCTAGCTCAGTTGGCTGGACAGCTGATTTACAATATAGAGTGACACTAACCCAAATTGGCTTCTTCTATACTTTGATGGTGCATTGATTGGGGTGGAGTGCAAACTTCACCACAAAACGCTGTTATATTTAGCAACAGAGTTTGCATTCAACCAAAACTGACACAACACAAGTCTCTACTCAGACGTTTTAAAAAATGAATTAAAATTCTTAAACTTTTAGAATTTATTTGCTCATTGGATTATTGGTATAGATCTCCAGATTATTAATGCACAAACATAAGTATGATAGCATTCTTACTTTACACACATCATATGTTTTCATTACATAATGGCATTATGTGAAACATAATTAACAGCACTGTTCAAAATGTCACACGAATGATTCTATCAGCGAAGTGCCTTTGAGACATTATACTATGTTAATGTATTAGACGCACTCAAGTTATTGTTGAAAAAATGTTCCAATAATTGCACAACACAATCCAAAAATATTCTTCAACACAGACTTGTGCTGCCAATGTCAGCATGACTTTTCATATTGCTGTAGCAGTACAAATTAACCAGTGGTCAAAAGGCCAATGTCATAACTGATTATCTCTGCAGGCTTTAGTTATACTTTAGCAGGAAATGCATTAGACTAATTCCACTTAACATCTTTGTATAAACTAAGACCTGACATTGCTTTTCTATTAAATGTTTCACTCTACTGTGACATGATATGTCAATGTTGCTCATGTATGTTTTGTCAAGGGTCACAAGTCAAACTAATCTCTTAATTGAACAGCACTCTCAACAATAGTGTCCTTCTTAATCTCCACTGCATTCATACTTTATTTTATTGATACGATTAGCATCAGAGTACTCAGATTTATTTTTCCTTTGAGCCACCAAGCTTCAAATATGCTTTTAACACACTGGGATGGATTTTATGAGAAGCTGTGATTTCATCCTGGTGAAAAAGTTGGGAAGGGAGCTTGCTTTTCATCCCAATAGCTTGCCTGTAACAAAATAATGCTGTAGCCATGTTGATTGCTTTAGGACATGATTTCCAGCACTTTGACCAATCAGAAGCCCAGTTGCTTGGAAAACAGTGCCTGGTAGGAGAACATAGAATATAAAACATAGAACATAGAACAGTACAGCACAGTACAGGCCGTACGGCACACGATGTTGTGCCGAACTTTTACCCTCATCCTAAGGTCTATCTAACCTCCACCCCGACCTTATATTATCATCCATATGCCTATCTAATAGCCGCTTAAATGCCACTAATGAGGCCGACTCTACTACCCTCTCTGGCAATGCATTCCACGCCCCTACCACTCTCTGAGTAAAGAACCTATGTCTGACATCTCCCCTATATCTACCTCCACTCACTTTAAAACTATGCCCCCTTGTAATAGCTACCTCCATCCTAGGAAAAGTCTCTGGCTGTCCACTCTATCTATACCTCTGATCATTTTGTACACCTCTCATCCTTCATCGTTCTAAAGAGAAAAACCCTAGTTCTCTCAACCTTTCCTTGTAAGTCCTTCCCTCCATTCCAGGCAACATCCTGGTAAATCTCCTCTGCACCTTTTCCAACGCTTCCACATCTTTCCTGTAATGAGGCAATCAGAACTGGACACAATACTCCAGATGTGGCCGAAACAGGCTTTTGTATAGCTGGAGCATAACTTCATGGCTCTTGAACTCAATCCCTCTATTAATGAAAGCTAACACACCATATGCCTTCTTAACAACTCTATCCAACCTGGGTGGCAGCTTTCAGGGAACTGTGGACATGAACCCCAAGATCCCTCTGCTCTTCCACACTGCCAAGAATCTTTCCGTTAACCCTGTATTCTGCTTTCAAATTTGTCCTTCCAAAATGAATCACCTCACACTTTTCAGGGTTAAACTCCAGCTGTCACCTCTCAGCCCAGCTCTGCATCCTACTGAAGCTGCTACTGTTGGAACTACAGGACCAAGGAGCCAAGGTGGATCAGGGAAAATGAACTGGAGGAAGATGCCTTCAAAGGACACATGATGACCAGGCCTAACATCATATTGCGCAGCTAATGCTTCAGGGAACACCACGAACCACCCGCCGCCAAGGTAAAACACCAGCAGTTTTATGATGGGGCTCTTCAGTGGCTCTTTAAGTGACCATTTTAAGGACCTCGTTATGCCTAAAGGTGGCAGGATGTCCAATACCTTCCCCCACCTCCCCAGCAACTAGTGGAATATAACAGACAGATGAAGGGTAGTTGGCAAGCAGGCCATCCACTGGATTTTACGTGCTCTTTCCTACATGCAAACAAGCCAGTGCGGTCCTAAATGGCTTCTAATGCAATATATTCACTTCCACCATGATTTGTGCCAGATGCCATATTGATAATGGCATTACTGCGAGTACAACTAGCACCCCCAGACAAATGCACAGCCAGGAAATCATGATGCCAATCAGTGTGCAATGCTCTTTTTCAGAAATGCTGCCATTTTAGAGTCCTGTACTCCACCTGATGCCCGCTATGGAAGCTGCATTAATGGAGATGCATCAGCAGCACGAAGGGCCCCCTACCCATTGCTATTTGGGAATCATCTACCACCTACAGGTCACTTGCTGATTCATTTTTTCTGGTAGTTGGTCTAAATCTATCAGCCTTTGCTTTCTGTATTTGTTTCAAGTTGCCAAAACTCAGCAGGAAGTGTGACCAGTGATGAAGTACCTTTTCCAGGCTTCAAGACTTATGCACAGACTGTTGCTCCAGACCTGGGTGCACTAGTAGGCATTCTCCTTGGAATATGGAATGACTTGGAGAATGAACAGAGCTCAGGCTGAACAAGCTACAGGAAAAGGGACATAGAGGGAGAGAGTTGGCCACCTTGGCAGTATTTTTCTTTCTCCACATTGTGCATGTTGTGAGATATCAGCAACGGCAACCCCAATTCCACATTCACCAAGACTCTGAAGTCCGTATCTTTCTATTGCTACTGGTGGTCACATTGACA